AGCAGACTAAGTTTTTTTGGATTTTAGCATTCAAAATAAAGCTGTCTGGCCTGGCCGGCCTGGCGCAGGCGTTGAGCATCAACCCAGGAACCGGGAGGTCAAGGTTTGATTCCCGTGGGGGCACATGCCCAGGTTGGGGGCTTGATCCCCAGTGGGGGGCGTGCAGGAGGCAGCTGATCAATGACTCTTATCATTGATGTTTCTCTCTCTCTCTCTCCCTCTTCCTTCCTCTCTCTGAGATCAAAAAAAATTTTTTTTAAAAAGCTGTCTGTAACTAGCTCAAGCTTCTTGAAGACAAGTTCCATGTCTGGCTCATCCTTTTTTTTTTTTTTAAAGATATTTTAGAGAGGAAGGGGGAAGAGAGAGAGAGGGAGAGAGAATGAACATCAATGGAACAGAGAAAAATTGACCAGTTTGGTCTCCCTGACCTGGGACCAAACCCAAAACCTGGGTATTTGCCCTGCTGGGGATTTGAACCGAGGGCCTTTCAGGGTTTTTGAATGTTGAACTAGTCTTGCATACTTGGGATAAATTGCAATTGGTCATGAGACATGATTCTTTGTATATGTCATTGTATTTGCTAATATTTTGTTGGGGATGTTTAAATCTTTGCTCATGAATATTGGTCTGTACGTTTCCTTTCTTGTAATGTCTAGTTTTTGGTATTGAGGTATTGCTGGGTTGGTAACGAGTTAGGATTAATGTATAAGTCAATCGTTTTCCTATGTACAGCAATGAACAATTAGAATTCAAAATGAAAAACAATGCCATTGACATGAATACCCTTCAAAAATGCAGTACTTAGGTATAAATCTAACAAAATATGTATAAGATCTCTGGTGAAACAAATCAAAGATCTTGTATTCCTCTGCTTCTATTTTCTGGAAGAGATTGAAAATTGGTATAACTTCTTCCTTAAGTGTTTGGTAGAATTCACCAGTGAACTATCTGGGCCTGGTGCTTCCTGTTTTAGTTATTGATTCAATTTTAAAAAATAGATTTAGGCCTATTCAGGTTATCTATTTCTCTCTGGGTTAGTTTTGGTAGATTGTTTTTCAAGGAATTTCATCTAGATTATAAAATTGTGGGGATAGCTGTCCACAGTATTTCTTATCCTTTTAATGTCCAGAGGATTAGTAGTGATGGCCCCTTTCATTTCTCATATTGATGATAGTAATTTGTCTTTTTTTATTGGTTAGCCTAGTTAAAAGTTTATCAATTTTCTCAAAGAATCAGCTTTGGCTTTGTTGATTTTTCCCTATAGACGTCCTATTTTCAGTTTTATTGATTTCTGCTCTAACTTTTCTTCCCTTTCGCTTACATTGGATTTAACTTGCTCTTTTTCTAGTTTCCTACGGCAGAAGCTTATGGTGATTTTAGACTTCTTTTTCAAGTAGGTGCATTTAATGCTAAAAACTTCCCTCTAAGACCTGCTTTTGCTGCCTCTCACAAACTTTGATAAGCTGCATTCTCATTTTGCTCAAACTATTTGAGACTTCTTCTTTGACTCATGTTATTTAGAAATGTGTCATTTTAATCTCCAAGTAACTTGGGATTTCCCATCTATCTTTCTGTTGTCTATTTCTAGTTTAATTCTGCTGTGGTCTGAGAGCATACTTGGCATGATTTCTATTCTTTTAAATTTAGCATGTTTTATGGCCCAGAATATAATCGGTCTTGAATGTTCCATGTGAATTTGAGAATGTGTGTTTTGCTGTTATTTTACAAATGTCAATTAGATGAAGTTCATTGATGGCACTCTTCAGCTCAACTGTCCATGCTGACTTTCTGCCTGCTGGATCTATCAATTACCAATGGAAGAATGTCAAAGTCTTCACCTGTAATAGTGGCTTTGTTTCTTTTCCTTGTGGGGTTATCAGGTTTTTGCCTCATGTGTTTGATGCTTTGTTGTTTGGTGCATACACATTAAGGATTTTTAAATATCTTCTTGCAGAATTGACCTCTTTATCATTATGTAATGCCTCTCTTTAGCCCCAATTTTCCATGCTCTGGTCTGCTTTGTCTGAAATTAATACAGCTAGTACAGCTTTCTTTTGATTAGTGTTATGATCTTCCTCTATCCCTTTAATGTGTCTCTATATTTAAAATGGGTTTCTTGCCCTAGCTGGTTTGGCTCAGTGGTTAGAGTGTTGGCCCTCAGATTGAAGGGTCCTAGGTTTGATTCCAGCCAGGTTGCAGGCTCAATCCCAGGGCCTAGTCAGGGTGTGTGCAGGACGCAACCAATTGATGTTTCTCTCTCTCTCCCTTTCTCCCCTCCACTCTCTGAAAAGCAATGGAAAAAATATCCTCAGTGAGGATATTAAAAAAAAAAAAATCTAGATTAGATGTCATATACAGGCTACTTCAAACATAAGTATGGAAATAAACAATTTTATCCCTCAAACAGAGACAAAAGTTACAAATCCAGGAAAACAAAC